CCAGGGGGATGGGGGCCTCAGGGCGGGGGCGGAGAACCGAGGGGAGGAGCTGGGCCCCTGAGTCGCTGCCCAGAGGACAGAGGCCCCCAGAGCCGGGACCAGGCAGGGGGCCGTCGTGGCCGTGCGAAGAGTCAGGCCTCTGAGACGCGAGACTGCGTGTTCAGCAGTCCGTCCAACTCCCGTCACCTGTGGCCCCCTGAGGACCTAAGTCCAGCCCCCGGAGTCCACACAGAACCCCGCAGAGGCCAGGTGCTCACAAAGTATCTGTGATGAAGGGTCCAAGCAGCTGTTCCCCGCGGAGTCCCCGCTTCCCGAGGGAGACCGCAGGCTATCTCCCCCTCAGCCTCCTTTCAGTAAGGCTGGCCGGGGGACGCCCTGGGCAGGCTCTGCGGCTTTTGTGGGGAAGAACACAGCTGAGGGAGCGGCAAGGGTTTACAGTTACCTGCTGTCCTGGAGAATGTGGAGGGCCACGCTGAAGCCACAGAGAGGGGACAGTCCGGACTTCACCCCCTGGGTTCCGTCTTCCCTAGTCACGCTTGTGCACGGGGGCCCGGCAGGCACAGAGCCAGGGCAGGCGGCACCCCCTTTCCAGGCCGCACCTCCCTCATCTGGTGATGGGACGAGGGGTGATGGTGGAAAGTGCCCGGCTGGGAGAACCCCGGGGTGCAGGGGAGACCCCAGTGACGCCACCCAGTGATGCTCCGGCTCTGCTCTGAGTGTGGACCACTGCCCCCCGCCCACTGCGGCCTGGTCTTCCCTTGCGGACATTCTGGGAGTGGCTGGACAGAGCCTGGCTCTGTACATAACAGTTTACGTCTCTGCACCTGGTCTGTGGCTGCTCCTGCGGCCCCGCAGCCGAGTTGAGTGCTCACGACAGGATGCATGGTCCACGAAGCCGAAATTACTATCTAGCCCTTTAAGGAAACGTGTGTCAAGCTCTGCTTTAGAGGGGAAACCGGGTTTGACACAGACGTGCGTCCACAGAAGGCGTGTGACCAGGATTGACAGCACAGGGCCCTGCCCACAGCACCCGTCCCGACAGCAGGACACGGCGTTTCGAGAAAACGACAGCCCTGCCCGACGCCCGACCGCTGACCCGAGGGCACGCCGCCCGCGTGTGAGGACATGCGCGTGTGAGTGTGCCCCAGACACACCTCGAGCCGCCTACTTCCACAGACGGCCCGAGGAAGTTCAAAGGGGAGAAGTGGAGATGCTGCCTTTTACACAACAGCAGGAAGACAAAACCGCCGAGGTCGAGGGTGCTGGGGGCCGGGGCAAAGCTGCCACTTGAGGAGAAGGAAGCTGGTGCCTCTCACAAAAGCTCTGGTGACGACACTGTCACACGCCCACAAGAGTGGCCCGACGTACAGGCCGACGCTGCCGGTGCTGCCGGGGTGCGGGAGCGCGAATGGGGCCAGCCCGCGTCAGGGAGCAGTTTGTCGCTTACATAACTAACGCACCCCTCCTCCAGCCCAGACGGCCTACTCCGAGGCGTGTACCAAGGGCAACGAACACGCCACCAAAAAGAACTGCGCGTCCCACAACGTGTCAAAAGCACAAGCCCGCAAGAACCAACGGGCTCCCGCAGGGACGCAAGGCTGGCTTGACGTCTGAAAGTCAATCCGCGTGATTCACCACGTTCACAGATTAAAAACGAGGAGCTACATGCTGTCTCAGTAAATGCAGAAAGCGCACTGGCAAACTGTAGTGTCCTGACGGACATTCTCAGAAAACGAGTTACAGAGGGGAACTCCCCTACCCTTGGGGGCAGGTAATTAGGTTTGTTTATATACGTTTGGAGGAGGTGCCGGGGACTGAACCCGGGACGTCCGGCGTGCTGAGCATGCGCCCTCCCCGGGAGCCTCCCTGACTGGACGCGGGGCCTCCGTGGAACCCCTGCGGCTGACGGCACACTTGGCGGAGCAGGACCGCCTGCCTCCCCAGGGAGATCAGGAACACGGCAGGGATACGCGTTCCCGTCACCGCCACTCAACGCTGCGCTGGAGGTTCTAGCCAGTGCAATGAGGCGGTGGAAAGACAGACAAAGGCGTTACTGGAAAGGGAGAAACACAACGGCTTTTGTCGCAGACAACACGATTATCCACACA